CTGGCCTCGCCTGGTGGGCTTCCTGGGCACACAGCAGCTGGCACGGAGGGGTTCTGGTCCCCCGAGAGGAAAGGGGGGGCTACGGGCGCCTCCCTGGTTGAGGGCGTAATTATGGGGGATGTGGCTAAAGGGGGATTCCTGTCTTTGGCTTGAGTGATCTCAGCGTCAAGCCCTCAAGTCCGAGCGCGGCCGAGACTTCCAGCTTCCCGGGTCGAGCTCAGCTTTTCTTTTTCCCTCCACTCAAGATGCGACGGTGTACGTTGGGGGGCTGGACGAGAAGGTCAGCGAGCCGCTGCTGTGGGAGCTCTTCCTCCAGGCGGGACCGGTGGTCAATACCCACATGCCCAAGGATCGAGTCACGGGCCAGCACCAAGGTGAGATACTTACCATTCTCTCGCAAAAGCTTCACATTGAATAAAATACTTCAGGAGGGGAAAATCGGAGAGAGATTACTGCGGGAAGAGAGGCGAGGGGTGGATAATCCCCAGGAAGGATCATCTTCCTTCCCCTAAGGGGAGCTTTGGGCTCTCTGGTTTTAAATCAAGCGGGGCTGGATGAGCTGTGGGAGGCCGTGGGTCTGCCCTCTCCTAAAGCTCTGCTTGGGGACTTGCTGCAGGCTACGGGTTCGTGGAGTTCCTCAGCGAGGAGGACGCGGATTACGCCATTAAGATCATGAACATGATTAAGTTGTACGGGAAGCCGATCCGAGTGAACAAAGCCTCGGCCCACAACAAAAACCTGGACGTGGGGGCCAACATCTTCATCGGCAACCTGGACCCCGAAATCGATGAGAAGCTGTTGTACGACACCTTCAGCGCCTTCGGGGTCATCCTGCAGACGCCCAAGATCATGCGAGACCCCGACACGGGCAACTCGAAGGGTTACGCCTTCATCAACTTCGCCAGCTTCGATGCCTCGGACGCGGCCATCGAGGCCATGAACGGACAGTACCTCTGCAACAGGCCCATCACCGTTTCCTACGCCTTCAAGAAGGATTCCAAAGGCGAGCGGCACGGCTCAGCCGCTGAGCGTCTCCTGGCAGCCCAGAACCCGCTCTCGCAGGCGGATCGGCCCCATCAGCTGTTCGCCGACGCTCCTCCTCCTCCGTCTGTCCCGACGCCTGTTGTCACCTCCCTGGGACCTGGCGTCACCCCTCCAGGTGGGTCAATCCTGGCGGGACCCCTCCCTGTGCCGCGTCAGTTGACAGGAGGCTGTTGTGCCCGTCCACCACCGGGCCCGGGGGTGGCCACGTTCTGCCGTGCCTGGTGCGGAGCCGCTCCTTCTCGCCTGGGGAGGCTCGGGGCGCTGGCACCGCGCCGCGTGGGCGCTCTTTGGTGACAGTCAGTGCCAAACCCTCAGCGGAGCTGTAGGATCACGAGCTGGCGGGACCTCTTCCCTCCCCGCGGCAGCTCGACCTACGCTGTCCCAGGGCTGAGCGGAAGGAGCCTGCTTCTGTCTGCTGGGTTTTGATGGTTCCTGAGGCTGTTTGTGCTTTCGCCTCCTTCCCGATTGCTTGGGAGGGTTTTTTTTTTGCTTTTGGTTTGGTTTTTTTTACACTGAACCGAATTCTCACCGTCTCTCTTCCCAGGCCTCCCGCCCCCAGGATCGTTCCCCCCGCCGGTGCCGCCCCCCGGAGCGATGCCTCCCGGCATGCCTCCTGCCATGCCGCCCCCGCCCATGCCGCCTGGCGCGGGTGCCCCCGGTCCCCCCTCCGGGGCTGCGCCCAGCGGGGGACACCCGCCTCACCCGCACCCCTTCCCTCCGGGCGGGATGCACCACCCAGGTAAGCGTCGGACAGGTATCGGGCTCGGGAAACGTCGCTCATCTTCTGCTTCTGGGGGGTGGCCTCGGGTAAATCGCCCCCTCCTTCTTCTTCCCTGATGTTCCCCTTCTGTAAAATGGGGAGAAAACTGTTGCCGTCCTCTGTAGGGGACTGAACGCGGCGTCGTTCCCCAGAACGTTGCTCTCTGCAGCACAGGGCAGCCTGGTGAAGAAAAGGGAGGGTCTGCGTAGGAGCGCGTATGTCACCTCAGCGGCGCCGTGCCTGCTGTCTGGGTTTCTCCCCTGGATGTTCTAAAACGTGTTAAAAAATAGCCTGGAGCGGGGCTCGGTGGGATTTATGGAGCGCTTTGGTAATTTAGGAAGTAGTGCCCTTCCGGGAGGCATCCAGTCGGGTCGAGACGTTGGTTTCCTCGAGGTGTGGGACGCGGGAAGGCAGGGTCCGGCGCGGCGCGGGCTTGCGAGGTCTCGGTGCTGTTCTGGCTGGGAGGACGTTAACGAGACTCCAAGCCTTCGTCGTTTTTCTCTAGTGTAAACGAATACGTTAAGTGCGAACCTTCTTAGCACAGTCTGCGGCTCTGCCAGGCAGGAGCTAATTCAAGACATGAGAACAAAATGTTTCTTTGATTTCCTTCCGTTTTTAGCCCTGTAGTACTGGGGAACGAGCAGCGTATACGTCTAGACTCTGGTTTCAAATGCAAAAATTAAGTGAAATTGGCAATTTAATTTTTTTTGTTTGTTTAATCCTGCCTGCTGTAAAACGACCCCTGCACCGAGACGCTCTCCCAGGCTGGCTGATTAGGGCGCTTTGTGTGATCGTGGCTCTGGCCGTGTGAGCGACCAGATGGCTGCTGCTTGTCCCCGATCGCAAGCTGGCTCTTCAGGCTTTAGAGCAGCCAATTACATGCGGCAAAGGAAAGCCTGACCGAGCGCTTCCACGCCGCGTGCGCTGGGCTCTTGAGTTTCTGATGAGGAGAAAAGAATCTGTGTTTGTTTGGGTTTTTAAAGGGATAAAATAAGAGAATAATAGGAAAAAAAAAATAGATGTGGAAGGACCCAGGCCTCTCCTGCTCAGGGCAGGGCAAGCTTCAAAGTCAGGTTGCTCAGGGGCTTGTCCAAAATCTCCAAGGGTGGCGATTTCTCTCCAAGCCCCTGTCCCAGGGCTGCACCACGCTTGCTGTCGCATCTTTCCCCCCTCTCACACGCGCCCAAGCAGCGTTTCCGATGCTGCAGCCCGTTCCTGTTGCCTCTCGTCGGAGAGCTTTGCGCTTTCTCCTCTTTAACCTCCCTTTTGGCAGCAGAACCCCCTGGGCGGGCCGGACATCGTAACCATCCAGCTGGATTTAGTGCCCCTCTGGGCCGCGGCTGCCCGGAGCTGCCGTGCCGAGCGGCTGCCCTCGTTCCGAACATCCCTTGACTCGTTATTCCCCTAGGAATGCCTCCCATGCAAGTGCACCACGGGCCGCCCGGGATGGGCCAGCATCACCCAGGACCACCGGGCTCCGGGGGCCAGCCTCCCCCACGGCCCCCACCTGGCATGCCACACCCTGGACCCCCACCCATGGGTATGCCACCCCGAGGACCTCATTTCGGGTCGCCCATGGGTAAGTGGGTGCCTGCAAGAGGCGGTATGTGTTCTTTTCTATCGATCGTACACGCTTCGTTGAGTTCGGCGCTTGCTTCGGCCCCGCGCCCTCCCTCGTTCCTAGCTTAACGGGGACGGGAAGGAGGTGACAGCGCAGCCTCCCCGCGGAGAGGTGTCTTGGAGCAAGACCTGGCGGCTGCGCGCCGCTAAGCCAGGGTCTCCCGGGGCTTTCCTCGTGCTCGTCGCGATGTGGGGCTCTGCGCTCTCTGGTGATTTCCCCCCACCTCTCACGTCGGGATATCAGCTGGGCTTTGCCAACCCGGAGGGTTCCTGAGACCTCTGGTGTCCGCCAGCCGTTGGAGGGTCCTAGGAGAGACGTTTTCTCCAGGATCTGCTGGTAGAGGGAGGATGGGGGAGAGCGTTGGCCCAAACCGGGGGCACCCGGTAGAGCTGGCGCCCAAGGGTGGGTTTTGAGTGGGATGGGCTGTTTCTGCTTCTCCCCACGGCGGTTGTTAACGTCTGTGCTCTGTCCCCGCAGGTCACCCAGGCCCCACCCCGCACCACGGGATGCGCGGCCCTCCTCCGCTGAGCCCCCCGGGGTGCCGCCGCGCGGCCCCTTGAGGGGCCCCCTGCCCTAAACGCAGCGGTGGTAAAACCCCCTCCCTGCTGGGGATCCTTCCCCCTCTGTCCTCAGGCTTTCGTTTCCCCGTGGACTCGCATCCCCGCACCCAAGAGGGGCGGTTGGGTCCATCCCTGCCTCAGCTCCCCCCGCTCTCCTTCCCTCTCCCCGTCTTCTTCGCCATTTCTTTTTATAGTGTTCGTTTTGATTACTTTTCCCCTCCTCCTTCCGTTTATCTCGGCCTTGAAGATTTGTCAAGGTACTTTTAACAGGATTTTTTTCTATGTAAAGCAGCGATCACCCATTTACAAATAAAGCGTTTTAAGAACCGGGGGTCGTCCCTCTGAGATCGGGACGAGGCTCTGCCTGTTTGTCATCACGGCGCTGATCGGCTGCTGACTGCTCTCGCCTTGCGCGCAGCCCCGGGGACGCCCGCGATGGAGTTCGTCGGCACGTGAAAGCTCTCCGCCTCTGCTGGTACCGATGCCGCCTGTCTGTCTTGGTGAGGCGCTGAATTAGGGTTGATGCTCCCGGTCTCCTGCTTTATCCAGGCTGTTTGTTGGCGGCCGATAGGCTCCACGTAATCCGGTACTCCTGCAGTGAAGAAAATGTACGATAAAGCCTTAAAGTCCATCGCATCCTTGGACGCTGCTGTCCCAGAGAGCGCAAGTGAGCGGGCGGGACATCTGGAGGAGTAATTCGGCAGTGACACTCGCTCTCCTGAGTGCCTGCCTCGTCCCTCTCCACGCGGAAGGGGCTTCTTTAGAAATGAGATCTCATTTCGATGTCGCTGGCAGCCACAGGCAGCCGTTATAGCTGTGGTTCTGGGGACAGTGTTAGCTGGGGGGGCGATAAAATTGGGGTGAAGCGGTCCGGTTGGGAGCGGAGGTAGAGCGGGGCTGGGCCACGTGTTGTCTCCACGCTTCCTGGGGCTGAGTCGCCAGGACCATCCCGCCTCTCCTAATGAATTCAGTGTCTTCGCGCCGGCGAGACCGCTAATTGGGGAAGCGTAGAAGCGGAGCCTGTGGAGGGAAAGTTTCACGCCTTCCCCAGCAGTTGGGAAGGTGTGAGGAGGGAGGGGGCTTGGCTTTCTGCAGAGCTCCGTACGGGAGGGCGGAAGAGCCTGCAATTGGAGACAGGGAGAGAGGTGTTGGCTTTATACATAGGAGGCTTTAAATCCCGGTGATTTAAAGACAAAAAAAATCAAGGTGCTTCCAGATATTTGGCCGCCTGTAGTTGTTTTGTGGCTTTGTGCAAGAGCCGGGGGATACGAATGGGGGACTGTAGTGCTTTTTTGGCTGTTGTGACTCCTCTTGGAAGGCTGCTGTGGCTCTCCAGCGCTCTGCAGAGAAGCTGCCTTGCTTTCAGCCCTGATTTTACCCTTTGCTGGTTTCTTTCTGTTTTATTTTAACATCCTAGGGCTAAAACTGACCTTTAGCTCCCATCTCTGTTCACCCTTGCGGGCCAGGGAGAAAGGATGGTGCCGTGCTTCCCCTCTCGTCATCGCGGGGTTACTTGGTAAGTGAGAGCTGGAGAGATGCAGAGCCTGATTGGGGAAGGCGGGGGAGGTAGCACGGCTGATCTACGAGCTTTGCCTCTCTGCTCGTGTTGCCTTTGGCCCGTGAGCGGCCGGTGCGGGAGCTGTGAGACGAACTGGAAGAGCTCTGTGCTTGCTTCAGCTGCTTGATAATTGTGCTTTGTCAGAGGCTGTAATAAAAGTAACGTCTAGGCTGTCCTTAGCTTTTACCGCTGATGTGGGTTCTCGTGCTGCTCCTTGAGTAGCCAGCCCTGCTCGGCTCCGGCCTTCCCGGGGCCAGTTCAGCGCTGTTAGGGGAGCTGTGGGGCTTGCTGTGTTGTGAATGGTTTCCAGGACTGCTCCCAGCTCAAAGCACCATGGTTGTGGGGGGCTGATCCTGACCAGGCCGAGCCCCCAGTGCTCCCACTGAAACGGGGTGTTATTAACCCCAGATGCTGAGCTGCAGTGAAGGTTCCCAAGTTTAGACAGGGGAGACCGAAGTCCAGAGGAGGAAACAGAACTTGCACGGGGGCTTCCAGCAGCCGCGGAGGCAGCGGGGTGCTCGCCGAACCTCTGCGATTTCATTAAACCGCCCACGGGCCTGGCTGTCTCTGGTCTGGGCCGCTCCAGCGCCCGGCACGATTGCATCGGTTCAGCCTCCCTCCAAGGAACGTGCCTTGCAATTCCTGCT